GGGACGGCTAGCGCAGATAGCCCTCGTATAGCTTTGCGCGAAATTCCAAAACAAGAAACTTCAACGCAACACTAGAACGTTTAAAACGGTGAAATCTTATATTTCATTTTAATAAAATATTTACATCGACATTGGGATATAAAACAACCAGGGACTAAACGCTTCACAGTAAATTAGCTTTTTAAACAAAGAAATGAACGAAATTACGACGAAAAAAATCGAAAGCATGGAGCAGAATTTTCCATTTTCTATTTAATGTCGAGGTTTGGAGGTACTTTTTCATCATATTGTCTGTTAAACTAAGAATAAAATTTTAACGATTTCTTCATGCATAACTTGAAAAAATTTAAGACAAATCATAATGTTTAACAAACTCACGTTGTAAATGGACACGAAATGCAAGTATAAGTTAAATCCAGTGAAAGTAGTTTTATGATAAGAATATGCTTGTGGAGGTGGTAATTTTAATCTTTTTACAACTTCAGTAAATTATTACAATGCCGTTATTGTTCAGTCTTAGTTTAATAAGGCAAAAAATAAACTATTTCTCAGATTAGACGTTGCTTTAGTTTGCAATAATAACTTCATGTATGCTTAACGATAATTTGCGTTCTTAGATTATAATGTTGTTCAGTTTATACCTTAGATTTAGTCAGTCGATTATGTTTCATAAAGGAAGACAGGTAAAATATTTCATGTTAAAGCATTAGAGCTGCCCTCATTGAGAACAAGGCAACATGCGAAAAATGATAAAATCTTTGACTACTTGTACAAAGTAGCAAACTATATAGGTCTAGCATTACTTGACGTTCCTTAGATTATGAAACAACAGCTTAAGCTAAAAATTTCAAGACCATCTACAGCGCAAAAAACGTTAGAACACCTTGAGTGATATCAAAACTCTGATAAGTTATAATATGATTTTTTAAAAATAGAAGTCACAAAATCAATTAATCAAGTTAATAAAAATGCTAGAAAATAACGAAATACTCGGACAAAAACTTCAAGATATGAAAAGCAAAAGTTTATGATAAATAAGAGATAATCCAAAGAAAGTATAACTACGGAGGTACTCAATATATATAATTTGAAACTGTGAAATATTAGAACAGAAATACTGAGACAGTCTACATGAAAAATAAGAACAATAAATACTGAGATAATACACACCTATTGAACTATAAAAAGTAAGAACAGAAATACTGAGATAATATATTACTATAGAACTATAAATATAAAAAGTAAAAACAGAAATACTGACATAGCTAGCTAATACATAACATTTCAACAACGAAAAAAAG